AAGCTACCGGTGGCTCCTCTGTCGTAGCTCGTGCAGCTACTCTGGCTACACTACATGCCCCTCCTTGTCCACTCTCGGACCCTGACCGCGGCCCCAGCCCCGGCCTCTCGCGGCTCTATCAGGGGGCACAATATCTGATCGTCGGATCCAGCGGTGGATATCCTCACCCTCTATGAGAATAGAAAGACATAGATTTATAAATCTCAAATAGGAATAAGAGAATAAGAATAAAAATATGGTTAAAATAAAAAAGAAAAGAAAGGAATGATGGAGAAAGAAAAGTAAAGGTTAAATTAATAAGGGATAACTTAGGTAATATAATTTTATGGTAAGGATATTTTTGTCTTAAAAAAATTAATTTTCTACTTCAGCTTCTTGGAAGAAGCTAAAATTTGTAACTTCTTCGCAAACGTAAAAAAACTGCTTCTATTGCGGCTCAAAAGTACTTCTCTATTTTGGCCAAACACCTCATATTTTTAAATAAGTACTAGTTTTAGTATAAGCGCGTTGCGTGTGTTCTCATTCTAATGAGAATAAACTTTTTAAGAATAACATAAATAATATTCAAATTAGAGATGTATTTGCGAGCTAAAATGAAATTTAATATTCATTCAAATTGTATNAAAATTTTCAATCCATTTTTCTCATTTTATTAGAGTGCTAAAAAGTTATATTTACGCTTATCATATTCATGCCTTAGAACTCACATAGGTATTCAAACATGGCAAATACTAATGGTCCGTAAATGTTTAGCTCGATCGTATCTTATTAATGGTTCTTATAAATTTATAAGCCAATCATATCTTATTCTACCTATGATTTCTTTCTAAAGAGCTTCATTTACACGAGAACAAATACATATATACGTCATATTCCTAGTCCTATGTGGTAAAACTAAGAGTATACACATTCTTTACTTATATATAAGGAGGCTACTAAGATTTTAATAAGATTGACCAATTAGATGAAGTGAGTCTCTTGAATTAGGCATTTTGTGTAAGTTCTATGATTACAGTATCAATTATCAAAACTCCCAACTTTTCTATAACGACCCGACTGATCGTTAGTACTTTTACTGTTTTATGACTCGCGTGGATGGTTAGTTAGGGATTTGGAAGGGTTCGGGTTGAAATCGGAACACTTGGTTTCTTAATTTGGCTTTAAAGGGCTAAGTTTGACTTTAGTCAATATTTTAAGTAACCGACCTCAGAATCGAGATTTGACGATTCCAATAGGTTCATGTGATGAATGTTCGGATCGGATTTTGGATGACCCGGGTGCGTTTCAGCGCTTAATATTGATAGTTGGCACATTGAAGGTTTTAAAGTTCTTTAAATTTGGTTTAGATTAGATTTTGGTATTATCGAGGTTCGTTTGGGATTCCGAGCTTGGAAATAGTTTCGTATGGTGATTTAAGACCTGCACGCAAAATTTGGTATCATTCCGAGTAGTTTAAGTATGTTTAGGCGCATTCGGAGCAAGTTGGAAGAACTTTAAGTTCATAAGTTGAATTGATTTGGTTTGGGGTGTGATTCTTAGTTTTGGTGTTGTTTTCTGCGTTCCGATGGCTCGAGCAAGTCCGTCTCATGTTTACAAATTTGTTGGTATGTTTGGGCGAGGTCTCGGGGGCCTCGGGTGCAATCCGGGCAATGCACAGATTGAACTTGGACTCAAAAGGGTGCACCAGTTCTGGTGTGCCCACACCTGCGAGCTTTTGGCCGCAGGTGCGAGCCCATAGATACGTGCATTTGGCTTCAGAAGCGGCCTTGGAACATTTGGCCAGGGGTCCGCAGAAGCATAGAGGTATGCGCATAAGCGGCCTCGCTTCTGCGATTGAGAGCCGCAGGTGCGCGAAGGCCGCATTTGCGCTTCGCGTCCGCAGAAGCGGAATCCCGTCTGCAGAAGTGTCCACCACTGGGCCTGGGGAATTTTGCAAAAGTGGACCTAGTTTCGCAGAAGCAGTACCACAGGTGCGGCCCAGGGACCGCAGGTGCGAAATTGCTGGAGGCAGAGTAGTCTATTTAATGCGGGACTTAGGCTATTTTGGCTCACTTTCTTTCATCTCTTTAGCGATTTTGGAGCTCTTGGAGAGGGGTTTTCACCTAACACTTTGAGGTAAGTAATTTCTATATAATGTGAGTTAAATACATAGATTATGGGTAAATTTTAACATCTAAAATTTGTGAAAATCATGAGTTTAGATAAAAAAAACCCAGGTTTTGATTAAAAAAAAATGAGATTTAACCACAAAAATGGTTATGGGATTGAGTGAAAATAATATATTTGAGTTCGTAAGGTTATGAGTAACAAATTTCTTCAAACATTTTCGAAATCCGGGTAAGTGAGTCCGAGGATAAATTTTAAGAATCTTTCAATTGGGGTTGGGTAATCACTCTAATAGTTAGAATATGAACTTTTGAACATGTATTGATTAATTTATATACAATTTGGCTAGTTTTGGATTGTTCAGCACCGAGTTAAAGCTTTAGAGCAAAATTGTGATCGGAAAGTGAGCCTTGAGACGAGGTAAGTCTCTTGTCTAACCTTCTAAGAGGGAATTTACCCTATATGTGATTTAAATTAATATTTGTCTCTAATTATGGGGGGCTACGTATGTACAAGGTGACGAGAGTCCGTGCATAGCTACTAATTATGCTTATGTCCGGGTAGTCATAGGACCCAAATCATGAATTATTTGAAATGTTTGCACCTTACTTGTTAATTAAAGTGCCTAAATTATATTAGAACTTGTTAGAGGAGTTGTGAAAGACCGTTAATGAAATTTC